AATCACTTTGATTAGTATGGCTGGATTGAGTTATCTGAGGTAATTGCGCGTTCATGGGTTGGTTTAAAAGGGGCTATGTATCGATACTCGAAACCACGTTCAGCAGTGCAGCGATTGGCTGGCGGCAAGACAGCAACGTAATAACGTCATATAATTAAAAAAGACACCTGACGAAAAACTGGACGAAATATTGGACTTTTATAAGGAAACAGCCAAGCGAACAAAAAAAAGTCACTCCCCCAGTTTATCTTGCTCCAAATTAAAGGTCACTAGTACTAAAAAAAATTGTCTGGCTTTAATGATAATTACTTAGAGTTATTTTATATGATTTATATAATTATATGATTCATATTATTATTAATCCATTACACACAAGCAATTTTAGTTTAAGTTATTATAAATCATTTATTTTAAATGAATGTTAATATACACAGATCGTATGTAATATAAATAAGTTGTAGAATCAATAGATAATGCTTTAAAAATGACTACATGTGACCTTACATGTTCGAGTCTGTATTGCTGTATATTTCCAACTATATAAACTAATTTAACCAGTTTCACTTGTGACTGCACTGATAAAGCAAGATCATTTCTTTTAATTGTCCTCTTTCATGAACGAGTACTTTTTTCATTGTAAATGCATTTAAATACATCATATTCTTCAATCTCTTAACCTTTAGCAAAACCTTTAACCTTTAACCGAGGCTCGAGATTGGCTGTTCGCCAGTGATGTCACACAATCATGTGCATGTGCTCCACAAACTCAGGATCAAAGCCTGAGTTGACAAAGAAAGTTAATGATCAGCATCATGGTACCAACAAAGCTGGATTGGAGTGGTTTGGTTTTGTCAACTCGAAACTAATCCTGTAACTCTGAATTTGTTCATCTACCATCATGGTACAGGCCCCTGTAGAAAGGTTATTTCAAATAAGATAAAAAGAATGATCATTTCTTGCAAGAGACCTCCAGTACTATCAGACTTAATTGATGACCATTTACCCTGAGAGGAAAGGGAAAAGCACAAATTACACCCCACAGGAGTAGAAAAAATACTTTCCCTTATACAAATAAAATGACGTTATTTTGATATTGAAAACTGTTGATGTTATTGTTGCTAAATAAGAGATCAATGAGCTGTAATCTACAAGACTAATTATCTTCATTAGCATTATCTCAGGTAGAATTCATTTAAAGTCACACCCCACTGATTTGAGATCAATATAAATCAGGGGTAGGCAAGTTCGGTCCTAGAGAGCCGCAGATATATAATATAATAATCTGAACCCAGATTTTTGAACGATAGTGCATTTAATGACCAGCGTGTCACAGATACTTCACTGTGTTTTTAGAAACCGCATGGTAGCAAGCTAAAAACTACTCAAACACAGTTTAGAAACTCCATAGCACTACACTGGAAACGACCCACAACAGCCTAGATTTAGAAAATGTAAAATCCTGTTCAAGCAGCCCTTGTAATGTACTTAAAATGCACTTTAATCCTTGCATACTCTCTGTGATTACCATATTTTAAAGTTATTTTAAAGTTATTCTTGGATCTGTTTTTTTTTTCAGGTGTTCTCTCTTTCCACAAATATATTTTTACGAGTACAGATTTATCACAGCTTATATGACACTTTTGAAATGTTTTCTCTGTGGATAACTTTCCCTCTTCTACCTTCCTGCTCTCTACTCTCCTCTCTTCTCTCTATCTGTCATCTTTTTGTTGTTGTTTTTTCTGCCTCTCTCACTGGCAGACTAGAGGATTTTCCAACCTCACCTACCAGCACAGCCAAGCAGGAGTTCCTGTATGTCTAAGTTTCCTTAGTAACCTTGTCCAGTCCTTCATGACCATTCATAACATCTCCATAATATTTGTATGTCGCAGTCCCTTCCATATGTCAAATATATACTATATAGTATATACCTTTCACTCTTACTAATCCAAATGCTCTCCTGCTCTGAATCCCTTTCATATAAATGGTTCACAGGATTATATAGTGTCTTCAGTAGCGGTCATTGAAATCATAACATCCCCATGACACTAATTTTACAGTCATATTTACTTTAATGCATTGTTCCATTGCCTAGTCCAGTGGTAGGCAAGTTGGGTCTTAGAGAGCCGCTCCAACCGTAATCAAACACACCTGAACAAGCTAATCAATGTCTTCAGGATTACTAAGGCTATAGGCAGGTGAGTTTTGTTTTCAGGGTTGGAGCTGAACTCTGCAGGACTGCGGCTCTCTAGGACCGAAGCCTTCTATGACATTTGCAAGTGAAACCAATCTGAACAGGCTTATCGCCCAGATTGTCCCCCAGATTGACGCCTTACGGCGTCAATGTTCTTTGCTGGTGGCCTAAACATACTCCTCACAGCGTTCCAGAGTATCCTGGTTCTGTACCCTGGCATCCACTTCCCACTGGTCACCTACTCTCCTTTGTGCCATTAAACCAGGTGGTGGTGTGACCCTTGCCGTGGAAAATACATGGCCTGCAGTTTGTTGTATGGTGCCAAAGCCAAAATCATGATACAGCGCTCCATCCAGTTCGTAGACTGGCGTCCGATAAGATTTAAGGTCAGCACCAACTACCAGCCGCCCAACGTTGTGCCTGGAAGAGATCTGGCTAAGGTGCAGAAGGCCGTCTGTATCCTGAGCAACAATACTGCCATTGCAGAAGCGTGTGGCCGCCTGGACCTCCACTATGTAAAAGTAACCATGCATCACACAATTGTGGTTTCTACCTGCTTCAGACAACCTCTTTGTAAAACTTTTCTGAACCAATTCTGAAAACATGCTGTAATGTTGACTAATCAAGGTTTCTGCTTAACTTTTCTTTGTGATGTGTTTGGGGTGGTGTGTGTAGGCGTTTTTTTTTTTTTATTCCCATGTCCCATAAGACCCTTGTAATGGACTTCCTTGGATTCAGTCCGAGACAGCACACATCTTTATTTGGTCTGTATAGCCACAGAGTTTAAAGATCTTATCTTTAATAAAGCACATCTTTTAAAGCTGCAGTCAGTAAGTTTTGCCTCTTTGTCGCCATCTCTGTTTGAAAACCTGCAACTGCAGCTATTTTTGGAATTATCTTCCTTGCACACGGCTCCAGCGCGGATGAATCTAATGTGTAGCTGTTCAGTCACCGCACTGGTGTGGATACTGTACTTTGTATTCACTGATTCTACATCTTGAAAGTGTGACCCAAGTAAGGGTTTTCATTGGAGAATGTTATCTGAACAAGTAAGTAACAACTGCCACTTTTGTTCTGATCAACTGAGGAAAAAAGCATTACAATAAACTGCGCTATCAATGGTGATTAAATCTAAGGATCGGTTAGCTCATATCACATCAAACCGTGCCAATTATTATTATTGTTATACTTTGTTTTCAAATTGTTGTTGACGTTAATAACATCAGCATTGCATGAGTGCGTGTATTTAGTGTGTATTAGCGTTATACCTGTAGATTTCCATTTCTGCACAGTCTAATCTCAAATTGTCATACCATTCGAATTTCATATAAAGAAATTGTTCTTGTAACCCAAAAAGCAAATTAAAGTTCCTTACAACTCGTTCTCTTTGAAATAGATATTTTTAGTACTTAGCTGCTGTGAGAACAGGCAATAAACGATCTGTCATCTGCAGCATCCTCACGTGCGATATAGCATAGGCTACTATCCGGGACAACTTCTTTATGCTTACAGATGTGACGTAATGACGCAGTGCCATGCTCGAATTCCCCGTGAAAACCTACCCATACCACTCAACTTAGAAAACTTTATTACAAGCTTACCGTTGTGAATCGAGCTAAAGCAAGGCGATAGTTTTTAACACTGGCTGGTTATGTACTTGCTCAAAAAATGATTTTGGATAATTTTTAACCAAAAACGTTAGGGACTGCAGCTTTAACTTGCATGTAAACTCAAACTCTGGACATTATACTATTACTTTGACAATTACAGTACAAGTCTTGCACAGAAGTTCAAACTCTTAATTAAACGTACTAAAAAAAGACTCATACAGACTCATGCCCTTCCCTTCCCCCACTCTGCATGTTTCTGATAAGAATAAACAATGGACTTTAAGAGATATAAGATACAGCAAGAAAAGACATATAAGAACAAACAACCAGTTGACGAAAATATCTTTTGTAAACTGGCAATTACATTCAGTAGCTTGTTTCATGCAGACCTAATAAACTAATACCATATTGTCACATTGCATTGAATTACGATCCTATGTTTAATTTCATATACTTTTGAAACAATAAATTTGATTTATTTTTTATTTTTTTGCAAGGAACTATGTGTAATATGAGTCTGATTCTAATATGCGGCGTGTGTGTGTGTGTGTTAGTTACAAATTTAATTCAGGCCAAATGTTATATTGATGAATCTGAGCAGGAGCAGAAGACAAACCCAGAGAGTGAAACATCACAATTCTCTTGGAAATGTTAGGGTAAATATATGATAGTTGCAAATATAATGCAGCTGTTAAGACATTTATGGAATTACATATAAATTTGACACTCAACACTACTCTTTAATCTTTTGTTATTCTCTCATATAAGCCAAAAGGAAATACTGACAGTGTAAACAGTCTGTTCACGAATGGGGTTTGTTTTCTGCAATTGTGTACACTGTCTTCTGTATGTATAACTGATATTCATAAACCTTTATTAAATAAGTCAAGAGTCATTAAAGATCATATATAAACACAAATTTGTATAATGTAATCACAGTAAATTAATTCAAAATAAAATATTAGAAGCAAGTGATCAACTTGAGGGCCAAAAAACTAGTAACTTAAGTTCAAATTTTTTGTGTTCTATTTGTGAAAACAAGATTATCTCAAACATACAAACAGATACACATACAAACACACACACACACACACAATGACATATGAGTCAGAACAGAGATAACAATGTGCACTTGTTCACTGACAATGTACAATATTTACTGTGACAGTAAACAGTTCTAAAACAGATCAAATAACAACGTCCATAAATAAATGGATATTCATGCAAGACTCCAGATGCTCTTCTGCACATATTTTCATGTGCAACAATCCCCTTTGCTCTTCATCCCCTCTTCATTATAGTCCTCCAAATACAATATCGGCGACTCACTTTGGGAGCGTTTTTGAATGATGGATGGCAACACCAGATCAAAGAGTGTCTCAAACATAATATCTACATTAAATCCAGTCTTAGCGCTTGTCTCGAAGCACATCTTTTCCGCTGGTGGGCTGGTGCCCTCTAGTGCCTTATAGCGAATTATGCGGTTGTACAGTGCTATGGTATCATCCTGACTCACCTGTTTGTGCAAGGGAAAGTCTGGAAGTGTGGGAAAGGATGGAAGGGGAAGCACACTACCCTCTTCTGCCCTGACTTCCTCCAGGGTCATAACATGGGCTTGAGGGTCAGTGAGGTCTGCTTTGTTGCCCACAATGGCAAATATGCTGTCACTATTGGCCGAGTCAGTGAGAGGTAGGAAGCGATCTTCAAGCTCTACAAAGCTCTGCCAGTTTGTGACATCATACGTGAGAATGATGGCTGCAGCGCCACGACAATACATGGAGCCTAGACCGTGGAACTGTTCACGACCTGATGAAATAAGAAGCACAGAAATACAAATATTACAGTTTTTTCAACTGCTTACATTTTCAAAACTTTGCCTCTTTTTTTTTCAAAATTTTACACACAAATCCAAGAATTGCACACACAAAATTAATTGTGTGACAAGTAAAGATTTTGTGTGTAAGCAGTTGAAAAAAAAACTAAAAACTGTCAACATTTCAAAAGTTTGAACTTTGTTTTTGATAGAAGTCTCTTCTGCTCACCAAGGCTGAAATTATTTGATCAAAAATAAAATAAAAACAGTAATACTGCAAAATATTATTATGAATAACTTTTCTATTTTATGTCATTTATTCATGTGACGCAAATCTGAATTTTCAGCTGCCATTGCTTTAGTCTTCAGTGTCCTCCAGAAATGATTCTAATTTGCTACTCAAGAAACATTTCTTATTATTTATGAATGTTGCAACCAGTTGTGCTGATATGATAAATAGCAAGTTCAAGCAAACAGCATTTGAAAAAGAAATCGTATAAATGTATTTACTGTCACTTTTGATGAATGTAATCCTTGCTGATAAAAGTTTATAATCTCTTTTTAATCTTTTAAAACACAAAACCTTTGAATTGTAGTGCATCATGGTTTCCACAAAAATGTGAAGCAAAACAACTGTTTTCAACACTTATAATAATAAGAAATGTTTCCTACGCAGCAAATCAGGATATTAGAATGATTTCTGAAGGATCATGTGACAATGAAGACTGGAATAATGTCTGATGAAATTCAGCTTTGCATTACTGGTATAAATTACATTTAGCAATATATTTACATAAAATCTATCTATCTATCTATCTATCTATCTATCTATTTGGAAAATAATAATTGCATACAGTTCATGACTGTATACAAAACATGACTGTTCATAGTGTACCGCAAAGCTCTGGAAGAAAAAAAAAAAACACCGTAAAGCAGAACAATGAAATTGAAGTTGTTATTCAGTAATCTTGCCCTCCAATGACCTGTCAACTTGAAAACTATTGTGACAGGATCACTGAGTCAGTAAATTAAAATCAAGAACCCGATAAGTCCAGTTTATAAGTCCAATGGAAATAAATGACAGCATACAGTATGTGTCACACAACATGGGAGTAGGTAAATAATGGCAAAATTGTAATGTTTGGGTTACTCTTTAATGAAGTAAGAACATTTAGGCCAATCTATTCATTTAGCACACTAACAATTAAATCAAATAATGTTGCTTTTTCAACCCCATCTCAAGGTCATGATTTCTTCTGAACATGTATATGGGGTCACTGGAATTTTTTGAAGGAGTGCACATTCAGCTGAGAAATTTCTGTTCCTCATAGCTACATCTATGGCTTCATCTATGGCTTCAGAAAACCAATCACTTTCATTTTATGGAAAAGAGCACATGTGAAAATGTAACATGATTGTAATATTAACGCTTAATTTTTGTGATTTCACAGAACAAAGAAAATCAATTGTGCTTGTGCATAAGGTTGAGTAAATGTTGACAGAACTTTCTGCTTTTAAACAACCTGGAATGCCTTAGAGTTGCATTGTACCGTAAATCCTTTACTGATGTCATATTTGTTTCTACAAAGCATATGTGAAATATATAATTATGTTACTTTATTTTATTTTTGTTATTAAAAAATAAGAATAAAGAAACAAATTACAAACAATATGACAAATTAAACAAAGACACAAATGAAAAAATAAATAAATATGTTTTTCAGCCACAGTAAGTTTATCAAGCAGTAATAAATTGAGTTTAACCCTCATGTACTGTTCCGGGTCAATTTGACCCGATTTGATTTTTGAGTTGTCGGAAATATCAGTTAACTTGTTTTTTTTCTTGACGTTTTGTGACTTTTTCTCATTTAGGGTCATGGACATGCATGCAAAGTTTCAACACACTGATGTGCTTTGACATGTCCACAAAATTTTTTGTTACGTTCATACTGTTCGTACCCAGGGGTCAATTTGACCCGCCTATTTTAATGTTCTAAGACAACTCTACAGAGCCAAAATGATAACATTTATTGCTTATATTTTTTTATTGTAGTTTTTTACTATACTATGAAGCTAAAAATAATAGCTTTTCCCCACTTAATTCAATGCAGAAAACTATTTCGCCAGCCACAGGTGGCAAAAATTAGCTATCTTTTATTTTTTCAGTCTATCTGAAATGCTATTTAACCCATGTTGTTTTTCTTGAAATTTTGTAACTTTTTCTCATTTAGGGTCATGAGCATGCATACAGTTTCAACACGCTGATGTGTTGTGAAATGTACATTCAGAAATCTTTATACGTTTGTGATGTTCACGGGTCAAATTGACCCACATAGGCAGCCATTCAAAAGCAACTACAGACACAAATTCAACAATACAACACAGACACAATACAACAAATTCCTTTGTTTGTCAGAGCTCCTCAACTCTAGTCCTGAAGTGCCTCCTAGTGCCAGCGTCTTGATGAGTTTAACAACTTTTTAATTTCAAAGTTTGTGAAAACAAAACTGTTTGGCTTTTTAACTGTATGTCCCACTTTTTGAGCATAGACATAAAAATGACTTTTCCAGCTAAAATTGTTATAAATCTTGAAAACTTTCGAGCACAGACTTAAGTTTGGTATCTTTTTAAAGGTGAAACATCACAGATTATTGTAGAAGTAAATTTATTAAAAAAACGTATAGGTTTAATTTTATGAAAATGTAAAATATATATATTTTTTTTTTTTTATATTATATATAAAATATACATTTTACAAAACATGTTTACATCCAAATCTTCAAGAAAATCAAAGCCAATCATCTGAACAAGTTTTGAGCCAAATTTTAGGTTGATATCTCAAAACTTTTAAGTAAGATTTTGTGGATGCAGAACCAAACTTTTCCACTAGATGATGATATACAGGGATTTTAATTTATTGTTTAAGTGTTCTGAACCATATATTTCCATAATTTTCAAAATATTTATGATAGACATCCTATTCAGGTATAGTTTGGGCAGCAACTTTAATATTTGATTTGAATTCAATCTCTAAAACACATAAAAACATAACTATAGAATAAGAGTGTGTTTGGCACCACATCACAAATGGAGAATCTATCGCTATGTATCTATTGCTCTGTCATTTCTTTGAAAAACAGTCACCAAATATGAAAACTAGAGTCTGAATCCTTTCAAATGATATATAGTTTGTCAAAATTACTTTAGGTTTAGACCAAGATATTATCTTTAAAAATGTGTAATCGCAAACATCCCACAGGTGTGGGGGAGGGGCAGTCAAAAATGGGGGGGGTGTCGGGTCTAATAAAAGGGGTTAAATACGTACAGTACAATTATACAATTTTAAGTGGTAAAAGAGAATACTCCTTCTAAATAACTAAAATAGCTAAATACCAACAATTTTGCATATTATTATATGCTTTAAATTCAATTAAATTAATTTGAAATAATTAAATAAAATGACATTTTCAATTTAATTACAACTTTTTAAAGTAATTTTAGTGTTAAATAAGAAGCTGTTGTTTGTTTTCCTTGTCAGTTAAAATGAGATGTGTGTGCAATGTGCAGTAGGCTATGTGAAAACAACCTCAAAAAATCAATGAGCTACAGCAACAGCTAACAATGCAGCCAGTGTCTATGAAACGGCAGCCGGTTCTGACAGGAAGTAGTCATTACTATCAGCTGAGCCATACTATCACAGCTACAAAAACATGTTACCCTCATCGACATGTTTAGATAAAGGCCAGAACAATCAAATAGGCCTATCCTTTTGCTTTAATCTTTAACATGTCTTTAAAACACACACACATACACACACACAGTTTAAATAGTTTGATGGAATACAACATTTAGATCTGTTGCTTTCATTCAGCAAATGTGCATGAAGACATGCTTCCTATCAATTACTGCTAAAATTCCGTGTAAAAATTTCCACATTATTGCTGAAACTACCAAGATTGCAAAATCCTGCAAAGAACACAAGACAACTGCAGGCATTGATGCAATATATCAGAGTAATCCTTTCCCTTTTTTTTCAATTAGGCTACTGCTTTTAGAAACTGGCAAAAGATAAAAAGGGGCAAAAATAAATAAATATAAAAATAAAATATTGGCCACATAAATATAGTTAATTTTGGCAGATCATGCTCGATTAGATTTATTTAGATTAATGATTTTCCATGTCATAGGATCAGGGACATTCAGGAATTTACAAGACTAGGCGTGTCACTTGATTTCAACATAATCACATTTGGAAGAACTCTTCTCCCAGTCAAAATATCAAATTCTAAATATCACGAACTAGTTCTGGAAAAATTTTATATATATATTTATAGTGGTACTCTCTCTAGAAACAATAACTATATTAATCTTATGTTTTCCATAAGCACCTTTAACTGCAGGTTTCTGCATCTGATTATTTCCGTTGTATTGGCCAAAACGGAATTCCATCAATCTTACCCGCTGTATCCCAGATAGAGATGTTGTACGGACCCCACTGCTTCAAGAAGAACGCTCCGCCGATTGTGCTTAAAGTTTCATTGAAGCTTCTCTCTATGTACCTGTGAAGGAGGGACGTTTTCCCTACATTCATGTCTCCCAGGACTACAATTTTAATATCAGGCTTTCTCATTTTCCCAGGAGCAGGCATGGGTTTAAGGTTGAAAACTCAGTGATAAAACAATTATCTCAAAATTATAGACTTCCAACTCCACTATCCATAACAAACGCGCGCCGTCCAAATTCCTTTGGTGGTTGTTAATTTCGGCTCGTATTGCAGAAACACTTAAGCAGCCGATCTCAGCAGGTCTTCTGGGCTTTGGCGAGTTGATGGACTTGTTCGTGCCTAAACATGAACATAAACGGTCCTTTTAAAAGAGCATCAGTTTTTTGCTCCCACTGAAAGTTCACTTCTAGCAACGACGAAACAGGAAACTCAAAACCAATGGCACAATGCAAAAAAGTCCCGATTTAAACTGCAAATGTCGTCACACAGAAGACCAAGGCAAGGAGATTAGATTTTTTTTTAAATCACTTGGATCTTATAAATTAATCTTTATTCTTCCCATTCTATTTATGTCTGTTTTATTTAGTAATGTTACATTACAACATCTAATTTGCACCAATTTATAATAAATATTATGACAGTCTTTTTTTTTTATACTTATATTTTATCTATATTCTTCCCCATTTAAAGAGGAAACATATGACAGAGGTCTTTAGGGAGCCTCTTCATAATGTATTCAGATTGTCAAAGGACAAATCTTCCCAGAAAAAACATAAATCATGTTGTGAACAGAAACAGACACTGCGCACAAGTTTTCAAGCAAACAAACATCAAATAATATGTATAACTTTGCTCCAACTCGTAACATTGCTATGGTTAGCATACCATATTCCATTATGATCATCATCAGACAGTGAAGGTCAATCACGATCCTTGACTTAAAAACTTGACTTAAAAGTAATTTCTCTATCAGAATGGTTGAGAAATGTCCTTTAGTTTGTCCCAATGTCCATTACTGAGACAAATATCATACAAAAAGTTGTTAAACTAAGTGTTAAACTAAGAACAGAGTTGTTTTATTAACAATTACAATCATTATCATCAGACACAAGATGTGGTTACGATTACTAGTGGTGTTACAGCTTTAGTTGCATTACAGAACTAATTTTTTTGCAAGGCTTTTCAGCAAAACTAATTTCTTTGAAGAGAAGAAAAGCTTTACAAAGAGTCACCACTGAGATGCTACAAACAGTTTGTGTTCTAATAGATAAAGTTTGGTCCCAATTCAGAAAGTGGTTAATCCTTCCTTGTCTCTCCTCTTCTTGTTATTTCCCATGTGGAGTTTGTGCCTCTATCCTGAAACCAAAATCAAAATTTAGCAATGTAAACCACAGTGAGTCTTGCAATGTGCTTTCTCAGAAGGCACTGGATGGTCTTACAAGAGTTCAAGGGATCAATAAAGAACATGCATAGGAAAATGAGCATTATATGGGTAGATAAATGTTTGGTGACTTTTAAAGGGGTCATCGGATGCAAAATTCACTTTTGTTGTTGTTTGAACATAAATGTGTGTTGGAAGTGTGTGTACACATCCACCCTATAATGATAAAAATCCACCCAGTGGTTTTTTTTAATCACTATTTTAAAATCCCCTTTCTCAAATCAGGCTGTTCTGAGATTCCTGTCAGAATGACGTAGTTCTGCACAGGTCACTCCCACGATAGTTGATTGACACTAGCATCTTACCTTAGACCCGCCCTGAGTGAGCTGCCGTCAGTCCGCCATTGTGTCGACTCCGGTGCAGGGGAAGACAAGAATGTCTCCGATTAAGTGATTGAGGTGTTTTGTTGCTGGATGTAACAATGAACATAGCAGTCATCATTTACTCCCGAAATCTGAGCCGCTGAAGACGCAGAGGATTAACGTTACTTCCGTTTCTGAAAGGAATGCGCCGATCACCGATCTGCCTAAATGCGTTTAAGTTCCCGCGAATCATCATGATCCAGCTTCATCTACAGAAGTGAGTATAAGGTTTTTTTTTATGAATCTTTGCAAATCGCCTTTCCTAATATGTGCTAGTTAGTGAGTTTCGCGGCTGAAGTTTACAGTCTGCTCGTCACCCCACGGAAGAGGGGCGTGGTCAGCAGAGCTCATTAGCATTTAAAGCAACACGAACTAGAACGGTGTGCTGAAAACAGAGCTGATTTTGACAGGGTAAAAAGGGTGTTTTTTTCACTACTATTGAGAGTTTTTAACCAAAGTATGTTATAGACTTTTCATTAAGACCCTAAAGAATCATATCAACTTGTGGAAAATGGGCATCCGATGACCACTTTAAGAAATCTCAGGAAGTCTAATTACTTTGTAATTACGCCTTTGGGTTTTTGAAAATCCAAAGGTATTTCTACAGTTTACCATGCTTAAATAATAACCATGAATTTTCCTTTAGACGCTCTTCTGCACTTAGTCTAATAGGATGAAATCTTGCCTTAATGTGGACTCCAAGGGGTGCTAGATTATTCCTTAAGGCATCACAGTCCTTCAGCAAGGGCACTCTGTCTGGCTCTGGATGCCTTTTCTGAATTTCAGAGCCAGTGTGGGGATCTTGTGGAGCTTGATCTTCCACAGAAAGAGCAAATTTACGAACCTTACTCCGAAAATGCACCAATTCCTCTACCACATTATTTAAAACTCCAGAGGAATCATGGACTTCCTAAGGGACACAGAGTACAAAGGATTAAAAGTGTTAAAGGAAGTCAATGCCTAAAAGGAAGAACATTTTTCGGCCATTTTGTTCTTGATATTTACACATATACCAGGTTACTCTACAATAAAAATATACTGCAAGTTTCAAAACTCAAAACTAACTCCCCAGTTTAAAACGTGAATTATTTTTTATACCCTTTATACCAATGAGTCTCATATTTACATCATATTTTTACTGTTAGTTAGTCTCATAAAAAGTATTTGTGAGATTACCTAAATCGTGTTGCAATAAGGAGATCATTGCATCGTTTGCCCAGTAGACATGACTGTGTTTGGCTAATGGCTATAGTACGTTTACATGCACAATTTTTGGTTCAATCGGACTGAATTCATTCCGATTGATGAATCTGAATGTAGTGTTTACATGAACACTAAATAAAGTGATCGGGTTATATGTCACAAGCTTCAAATCTGAAATTTATTTATTTATTTTTTTTGTAGTTTCTCACAGTTTGCACATAATAATCACTCTCCTACATGGCTTCTTTATTTGTTTTTAACAGCAGAATTAATATTTATCCATTTATGGATAAATATACATATAAACCGCTGTGCTGCTCATATTTATCGCGCAGTAAAAATGCCCCTCCCTGCGCCCAAAACGGGTTGCCTGAGGATGAGTATCCAAAACAAGGACTGGTGGGACGCTGTCCTGCTCCACTTCACAGTTGCCGAGTGAAAGGAGAGTTTTCTAATGACAGGACACAAATTTATACAACACTTTATTCAAAAGGATGAGCCGTTCGTTCCTCGAGTCATATGTCATTGCGCTATTTCTGCGTCATTGCACATGCGCAGTGCTTTCAGTTTCGGGGTTCAATCCGATCGAGTGTTTACATGCACTCTCAATCGTATTCGAAAAGGAATAAACCACCCCCTTCAATCCGATCGAGCTCAATCCGATCGATTAAGGTGTTTACATGAAGGCTTTTCACTGAATTCCTCAAGCGTGTGACGGAAATGTTACGCCCCTTACCATACTGTGATGCCGTGTCCCGGCACGATGAGGCAACACCAATAAAACCCATTGCAAACGAGGCATTTGTTGCATCCACTGGGGATATAATTACTCAAACATCTGAATATTTGGGTTGAACTGTTCTGGAACAGTGTTGTAAATACAACTTAACTACTGATTTCTAGTTATGTCCTCTTTTGGAAGGCCAAACAAAGTAGTGTTTCACTTTCACAACGAAACACACAGCGTCACACACGGCGGGCTTGAGAACGGCGCGGCCGGCGGGGCTTGCGGCAACCACATGTGACGACCCCGGGCTGGACTCCACTTTGTCCACGGTGAAAGCAGATC